ATTGAATTATAGGCTACAAGGTCCGGGGTGATTCCAGAACTCTTCAACCTTGAAAAGATAGAAATGGCTTTAGAGTAATCACACAACTTACGGGAAAGCTCAATCAAGTTGCTATACAGAACAAGATCACCCGAGACACGATCTTCTTCCATCTTTTGGAGCCAAGATAAGGCGGAATCAAACAGACGATCTTTTCCAAAATAGGTGATGAGAGTAGAGTACGTGTATCTATCAGGAGCAAGAGCTCTTTGGCGCATTTCATCGAACAGGCCATGAGCCACGACCCACTGCTTCGCACGAAGTACATTACGCAGAACGACGTTGTATGCAAACACCGAAGGCGAATACATTGCCTCTTCGTGAATCCAATCGAGCAAAGCAAGCGACCTTTGCCAGTCGGCTTCGCGGGAAAGAAGCGAAACCATGAAGCGGATAGAGAGTTGTCGACCCTTGTAGGGAGACATTAAACAATAGAGTTGTTGCTCGTTTTGGGTTTGCCTTATAGATGCTAACAACTCATCCATGTCTATACTGTGATCTAGATAGGCCGGTTCCTGCTTGCTCTGGTGTCTGTATGGAGAAGAAGAGAGCGTGGTTTTGTGCAGTGGTGATCTTCTCCATATATCTTTGGTTGGCGTAGAAGAATGAGAAGAAGGAGAAGAAGAAGAAGAAGGAGAAGAAGCTGAGACAGCGAAGAAAAGAAAGCAGGTGCGTGAGTTTAGGGCGGAGGCGGTGAAGTTGGGGGAAGGTCTGGCAGGGTAAAAATGAGAATTGAGGAGGGGTAAAAATGGAAGAAAGGAGGAAGAAGAAGAAGATGGAGAGAGGTCAAGTTGGAAGCAGGAGGGGACGCAACGCATGATGGTCGTTGCAGATGAGGTTTTCCGGACAAGGACAATATAACATGAATATTTTTATTTGATATTAAAATTATCTATGACTCAGATTAGTAGCTATCTTCATTTTCTAAGTAACAATTACTTAACTAATTTTTTATAATACTCAAAAAGATTAAACTGATGAATTATTTATTTTCAATGTGTCAGTTCAGAAAAATGAGAAGATCTAACTGTTATTCTCTTTCTCTCTGAAGAAACTATTCATAAAAAATAGACGGATTGCAATATTTGAATTAAGTGCTAATAATCTTCTACACGTTAAATTTGAAGACAAGTTGGGGATGTTTGTCCTGATGTAGTCAAAATTGATATTTTGTAATTTTAATACATTTATGGATTTGCAGAATAAGGACAATTTGCTGCTTTTACAGACAAATAAAATGCTTAATAATTTAGTCAAAAGCTGACGACTTTCGCATGAGTATTCTATTAATGCCGCGGTTAAATACTATATTTAATGAAATAATTAATTACATAGATTTTTATATTATGTTCAACTTGTCTAATATTTAAATTCTACTTGTCTTAATTTTATACAATTATTTTTGTTTAAAATAAGTGATTAAAAAAATTATGACTTATCTATGAAATCAATATTAAAATATTTAAAATTTTTATTATAAGTAAATAGTTATTTTGAAATATTGAAGAATTGACAGACATTTACTTTTCATGTTTTTTTAATAAAAATACCAAAACAACATTTGAATAGAAAATATTTTATTTTTATCCTTTTAAATTACACGTTAGTGTCTGATGTGATAGTATTTTTAAATATATGATGATAATTTATAATTAAATATTATGTATTTATTGAGATACAATGTCAAAATTATCGTAAAAATATAATACATAACGATGTTCAATATTTGTTGCTAGTTAAAAGTTTCATTTGAATAACTTGAGGATTGAATATAAGTAACCAACAGTAGTACACTGTGATAACAAGACAATGATGCATGTAACTAATAATCCAATATATCATAAAATAAAATAAAAAATAAAAATGGATTGTTATTTGGTGCGTGAGAAAGTTCAAGATGGGAGTATAATTACAAAGCATCTGAGCAGTGAATGTTAGGCTGCCGATATCTTCACCAACGCATTGGTTAAGCTCTCTTTTACTTTCACACGTTACCAAGATGGGAGTAGAAACATCTACGCTCTATCTTGCGGGAGGTTATTGAAAGATGTCTAGCTCAAGCTCACGTAGGAAGGCTGCAGACCCGCTCATCCATGCGGCCCAAACACGGATTCCCACCAAAGATCGCATGTATATATGCACACGTATGTACAATTTTAATTGAAATTGATAGTGTGTAAGGTGTAGGTACACGTGAATACTTATTTTTTTATCCTAGATATAAATAGTCTCTTCGTAAGGTTAAGAAACATTATAAGAAATAAAAGGATGGCAAACCCTAGCTGGTTCTCTCACATCAACGCTCTCTGTGCTGTCTCTACTCTGTTTCTTTCCTACCGTCTTTCTTGTCTTTGCTGTGCAGGTTCATCAGAGGCTTCACTCCATACATTTCTAGTGCAAGTGCTTAAAAGTACCAAATAATTAATTTTAAAAAACTCCAACTAGGTTTTACAAGTAGTCAAGTATAAATAATGTATTATTATTATTGTTATTATTATTATTTTCTAGTTGGCTACTTCTGTTAATAGAAAACTTTCATAAGTCAAAGCGTCTTTGTCGTGTTATCTTCTTGCGTGAAACACCAAAGCTGTTATCCTCCTTTAAAAAACTCCACCAACAAAATAATAAAAGCTTAAAATTATGGAGTTCTTCAACAGAGCTAAAGCAGTACGACTCCGCAGCCACCTGGACAAGTTCCTAATCGCCGATGAAGATGAAGAAACCGTCAGACAAAGCCGCAATGGCTCCTCAACAAGAGCTCGTTGGTTGGTCGAGTGGGTCCAATCAGATAATCATCTTATTCGTCTCAAAAGCTGCTACAACAAGTACCTCACCGCCTCTGCCGACGCCGCCTCTATGGGCCTGACGGGCTCAAAAGTTCTGCAAACGACACCGTTTTCCATGAAGGATCCATCTGTATACTGGGAGCCCAGGACCGAGGGTTGGCGAGTAAAGCTGAAGGCAAGGTCGAGCGGAACATTCCTTCGAGCTAATGGGGGAAGTCCGCTATGGAGGAATACGGTGACGCATGGTGTTCCTCACAGGACGGTGACGCAAGAGTGGATTCTTTGGGTTGTAGATGTTGTGGATATAGTAGTGGATCAGTTGGATATTTACTCGTTGAATACGTCTTCTTCTTGTACGACGTCGTTTGATTCTTCATCGTTGACGGAGACGGAGGAGGATTATCGGGGTTTGGACTGTACAGTCTCGTCATCGCCATCTTTATTTGCTTATTCTTGCACTGAAAATGAGTTTAACAGAAAGGTATATATATATATATATGTATATATATTTACATTATGTATATAGCTCTCTTATCTTCATCGTCATGTTCTACTCTCTTTGCTACTGCTAACTGGTTATAGTTGACTGTTGCCGATTGAAATAACACCGAGTGAATCCACTGGAAGGTATATGAAAAATCCTTTGCAGGATATTCATTTTGTATGCTTAATCTTTCTTTTAAGAAGAAAAAACTTGATTATTTAGGAGGATTTAAGATATATAGATGAAGAATCTGATGTAGAAATGGGAGTTTTTTGTTGTTAAATTTCGGTTAGATTTCTTATATAATATTTCATAATTATTTTTGCTGTTATGTTTGAAGTGTTTGATTATTTAGCTTGTTAAATGCCACTTGACTAATATCTTTACTTTTTCCAATTTTATGCCAACAAGTTTTGCTTCTTCAATGCTTTTTTTTTTTCTCTTCAAATTCCATAAAATATTTTTTTCGTCAGATAAGTGTATATAATATATATATATATATATGTATGTGCATGAACCTTTCTGACTGCTTTTTTTTTTTATATGCATTCTTGTTGTTCGACTTGGATGCTTTCGAAATATTTTAACAGAAAGAGGCGGAAATATTCTTGCATATTTTTCTTTTTTTATTGTTACATCACGATTAATTTTTGGCAATCAAGATTTAGAAATTTCTCCAAAATATCAAATAGGGAGCTATATATCGATAGTTGAACGCATGTCTATATATATATATATATATATATATATATTCTTGGTAAAATAAAATGTAGTTTTTGCCCACCTTTTCTTTCTCTTCTTTTTCTTTTTTAAGGCTACATTGCATCCATTTGTACTTTTACGCGTCAGATAATGCAATTACAGTTTTTTGTTATACGGATGTTGCTTATAATGTGTGTGCATACACACACACACACACACACACACATACATACATACACACAAGTACAACATTTCCCTTTTTAGCAATCTACACCAGATTACGTATCTCGAATTTTGAATGCTTCTTGTTATCGTGGCCGTTGATTTCTGTTTGCAATCACATAATTGATGTTTCCAAATTTAGCCTTCTTTTGTCATCTAAACATTCTATCATCTATTTTTTTTTTCCTCAGATAAAAATAAATAAAAAAATCATCAACTTCTGAATCTGACCTCTTTCTCTCATCAGCCTCTGCAAATCTTGCAAGGCTCGCCATTTTATTTCCTCCATTCCAAATACAAATCATATTCGTTGATATTTTCTTCAACCCCAATTAAGGTATGAAGTAATATCAAGAACATTATTTTCTTTGTCACATTCTATTTGCAAATGCTACAGTTTTGTTTCCCTTTTTATCTTCCATGATCAATCACATGGATTCAATTTAAACCTGCAACAATTACAATATATAGATGGGTTATTACCTTTCTATTTCATTTGAATCTTCATGATGTCGCCCAAAATGCATTAGTTTATATGATACAATATTTTTATTGTATAGTTTGAAGACTTGAATTTCAGTTTTATCTCTTATAATGTATCAAAAGAAGAAGTTGTCAGGATGTTAATTATTTATATTTTGTGTTGATTCCATTAGAGTGCTATGGAGATCTTCCAAAAAGCAAGTGTGGTTCGCCTGCGTAGCCACCATGATAAGTACCTACTAGCAGATGAAGATAAAGAATCAGTGTCTCAAGATCGCGATGGAACATGTAGGAACGCGAGATGGACAGTAGAAATCATCGAGAACAGCAAGGCTATACGTCTCAATGGATGTTATGGCAAATATTTAACTGCCTCTAACATGCCATTTTTATTTGGGGTGACAGGCAAGAAGGTTTTGCAAACCTTACCAAGAAGATTGGATTCATCAGTAGAATGGGAGCCTGTTAGAGAAGGCATGCAAGTTAAGCTTAAGACACGTTCTGGCCAATACCTGCGTGCTAATGGCGGGGTTCCCCCATGGAGAAATTCCATTACACATGATATTCCTCATAGAACATCTACTCAAGATTGGGTTCTATGGGAGGTTGATGTTCTAGAGACAAAAAAAAAAGCTCCTAGTACTACTACTGCTATACCAACTTCAAAACCCATTAAACCTACAACAGATCATCAGCCCTGGGAGCGCCCATCACCACCACCACCTTCAAAACCTATTAGAACTAAAGAGAATCATCAGGAATCAGAGCCTAGTTCACCCACAGAACGATTTTCTCTTAAAACACCTAGAATATCCACATTACAGGTTCACTTACTTAAAATTAACTGTTCCTTTCCAAATTTTTTGTGTTTAGTGTGTAAATTTATATCTTCAACAACAAAAACTGAAGCAAGATTTTGATCTTGTTATGTAGTCTAGAGATTCTTTTGAGGAATCACCAGTGAAAGTTGAAGGAAGGCTTATATATTATGAGGTAGCTGATGAAAATGGCGATGTTCATGAAGCTCCAGGAGAGAAATCTTTCATTTTTAAAGGCAAGGGATTAGAGGAATTGAGACAAAAGTTAGAGGAGGAGACAAGACTCAGTGATGTTACAGTGTGTGCTAGGAATCCACTTAATGGGAACCTCTATCCCCTTCGGTTACATCTTCCTCCAAACAACACAACCATGTATGTTGTTCTGGTTCCTTCTTCATCAAAAGGTTAGTTTTCCTATTTTCTTTCTAGCTTCCCATGCACTGGTCTATGTAATTGCTATTTTCTTTCTAGCTTCTCATGTAATTGCTTTTGTAATGCATAGTTGTCATCTTGATGTGGTATTGATGGGGTTATTGAGGAGTCTTCAACCATGTAAGACAGCCATAAAGGAGAAGAAAACATGAAATACTTCCTACATAAATGCTGCAAAAACTGTTACTTTTTATAAGGCTTGATTGAATTGCATTCTTTCTCCATTTTCTGTTAAAACCTGTAGAGCTCTTTGTCTTAACATTTTACTTCCTACTAATAAGTTCTACCAAAGATCAGGTTTGGTATTCAGCTGTATTCACTTTTTTCTTCTTAGAAACAATGCTTTATATCTTTCTCAATGTCACATTTTCTAGTTCTTGATCCTTGTATTGATGCTATATATGTTGGAAGACGGTAGGATAGAATATATATATGTGTACGCATATATATATGGTTAGACACCAAGTAGATTTATGACCACCAAGAATCATGGAGCAAATGTCTTTCACATACATCTAAACCAAAATTTCAAATGCAAATATATTTCTTTAAACAATTTTGTTCCATATATCTTTACTATTGTAACAATGCTTTTGCATTTTGGTAGTGATAGCATGATAATGAGGAAGCAAGGATGCCACTGTGTCCTACAGCATCTTTAAGAAGAATGCAGAATCAAAACAGTCGCAACTATAAGCAATTGCAGTAAAGCAGTGAAATTTCGTAGCTTTATTGAAGGCAATTGTAATAGCTTCAAAAGAAGCTGAGACGGTGAGCAAATTTAGAGAGAGAGAGTCAAGGAGAGAGAGAGAACTGCAAAACAGAGTCCAAGGCTGCAGCACCCTCTGTTTCTTTACTTTCAGAAGAATTTGGTTTCTTTTTGTTTTTTTTTTTTTTGAAGAGAGGAAAAACTAACTTTATTGAATTGCACAATTACATTTATAAGCACGGAGTTGTGCTTGATTACACAAAATATGACCCGATAAAATAAAACTCAGAGATTCATGTTAACACGTTGCATGGCAGCTGCGCAGGCTGCGGTGATACACTTTCTTCACAACCTACTTTTGAATTTAAATTTGAATTAAGTACATGGATAAGATCGGTAAAATCAACACTCTCCTTTAACGATTTTATCCCTGATTCCAATTTTTCTTCGCAAATCCTCAAACCTAGCCTTAGGCAGCGACTTTGTAAAGATGTCTGCAAGCTGCTCATAAGTTAGGCAGTGTAAAAGACTAATTTCTTGGTTTTTCGTAGCATCTCGAATGGCATGAAACTTTACTTTGATATGTTTGGTTCGTCCATGCATGACTGGATTTTTGGTGATAGCAATTGCAGACTTGTTATCTATTCGTATCACGGTTGGTCTGTGTAATGCATGCCCCATGTCTGCCATTACTTGCCTCAACCAGATGGCTTGATTTGAAGCCGCGGCAGCTGCAATGTATTCTGCTTCAGCTGTTGATTGTGCAACTACCTCCTGTTTCTTTGAAGCTCACAAAAAAGCTTCTGAGCCAACAGAAAATACATAACCTGAAGTACTCTTTGCATCATCAATACAGTCGGCCCAATCACTATCTGTATATCCTAGCAGCTCACCTACTTTAGCATCATACTATATTCCAAAATTACAAGTCCCCCGCAGGTACCTTAACACATGCTTAGCTGCTGCCATGTGCATCTGTTTGAGAGCCGCCATAAATCTTGATAGAAGGCTCACTGCATATAGCATGTCTGGCCTTAAAGCAGTGAGATAGAGAAAACTACCAATTAGACTTCGATAGGTACCCTCATCAACCTCACTTCCACCGTAATCCTTTGACAGCTTTAGATTAGGTGCTAATGGAGTTCCTACAGCTTTACACCTTTCCATTTTAAATTTACTCAGTATTTCACGAGCATATTTGGACTGACTTAGGAAGATCCCTCCCTTTATTTGATTGATCTCCAGTCCAAGAAAATAAGCAGCCCTCCCTAAACTTGACATCTCAAATTGATCTTCTAACTGCTTATTGAATCCATCTATCTCTGTTTCATTGTTTCCCGTGACTAATATGTCGTCCACATACACAGCAGTGTATATCTTTAATTCTCCTTCAATTTTGGCGTACAAAGTAGCTTCAGTTTTGCTTCTCTTAAACCCACACTGTAGAAGATAATCATTCAATTTCTCATACCAGGCTCAGGGTGCCTGCTTCAATCCATATAAAGCCTTATGCAGGATATACACGTAACCTTCTTTTCCTGCAACTAAAAATCCCTTCGACTGCTCCACAAATATTTTTTCTTTCAGGTCATCATTTAAGAAGGTAGCCTTGACATCCAAGTGCATTACTTGCCATTGAAACTGGGCTACAAGTGCCAAAATAAGACATATGACTTCATGTCTTGCTACTGGTGCGAACGTTTCAGCAAAATCAACACCAGGTACTTGCGCAAAGCCCTTTACAACCAACCGAGCCTTATATTTGTTAATTTTACCTTCAGGATTTTGCTTTAGCCTGAATACCCACTTTACTGCGATTGGTTTCTTGTTTGCCGGTCTTGGAACCAGGGTCCAGGTTCCATTGTTCACAATTACACGTATTTCCTCTTCCATAGCTTTAACCCACTGAATTTGTTTTGCAGCTGCTTTAAAGGTTACAGGTTTGTCCGCAGCAAGGCTGCAGCGTTCATAAATATCAGCGAGACTTTTCATTTTATTTGGTCTTATGCTTTCCTCATCTGAACTGTCACCTTCTTCTTCTGTTACATCAATTGAGCTAGATGTTAGAGTTGGACTGAATTTGGTTATAGCTTCAGCAGTTAAACAATATGTTTCTATTTTCCTTTTCTCCCAGTTCCAGTAGCTTGTTTCATCTACCAACACATCTCTCCGGATCCTGAGCTTATTGTTTTTCAAGCTCAAAACCCGATATGCTTTTGCTTCTGCATTGTATCCTAAAAATAAACCCAATTCAGCCTTCTTGTCCAGCTTTGTTCTTCTGTCATTTGAAACATGACAGTAACAAATCGACCCAAACACTTTCAGATGCTGAGTTGATGGTTTTATGCCATTCCAGGCCTCCATGGGTGTCATTCCTTCCACTGCCTTTGTGGGCAACATGTTGAGCAGAAATACAGCAATGTTTACTGCCTCAGCCCAAAGCACTTTTGGTAAATGTTTGTCAGCAAACATACTTCTTGCCATTTCCACAATGGTTCTATTCTTCCTCTCTGAGACACCATTCTGTTGTGGAGAATATGATGCTGTGAGTTGTTGTTTGATCTCATTTTTGGAGCAAAATTCATTGAATTCACCGGAATTGAACTCAAGTCCATTGTCTGTTCTTAAGCACTTCAACACACAGCCACATTCCTTCTCTGTCATGACTTTAAATCTTTTGAATTTGTCTATTATCTGAGCTTTGTTCTGCAGAAAGCACACCCAGGTCATCCTGGTAAAATCATCAATAAATAAACCAAATACCTGTTTCCATTCATTGAGTTTTCACTCATTGGACCACATATGTCCGAGTGAATTAGTGCAAGCTTTTGATTTGCCCTCCAATATGTTTGAGTAGGAAATGTCTGTCGAGCCATTTTTCCCAACTGGCAGACACCACAAACCTTTTCAGTAGCTCCTATATTTGGAAGATCCTTGGTTACGTCTCCCTTTTGCAACTGAAGTAACCCAGTAGCATGATAATGGCCAAACGTCTATGCCACAGCTTCTCTTCAGGTATTGTGACAGCGTTTGCCATTTCAACTACTTCTTGGAGATTCAAGGAGTATGCCTGTTTCCTTTTTGGAATGAGAGCAATCAATTTGTCTTCAAGATTATGGATTCTACAACATTGGTTTTTGAATGAAACTGAGTATCCATTATTGGTCATTTGATTTATACTAAACAAATTTTGAGAGAGAATGGGAACGAAATTCACATCAGTGATAAGTTTCCTACCTTCCCTCGTTTCTATAGCAACCTTTACCTTTTATGGATTCCAGCATACCGTTTCCAAGTCTTACTTGGCCTGTTGCTGATTTGTCAAGTGACACAAACATGGCTTCATTCTTGCACATGTGAGAAGTGCAACCACTATTAATAACCCAGAGGCTGTCGTCTTCCACTGTCAATTCACTTGAAGCAACAAGAATTGTATTACTTTGCTCACTGGATATCTCAGTGACATTTACATGTTGCAGCTCCTGCTTAGATTGTGCAGCTTCCAGCTTTTGTTTTTGTCTACAGAACTTCTCCTTGTGACCTACTCTTTTGCAGAAGTTGCATCGGACAGCTTTCTTTCCCTTATACCAGCATTCACTCTCAAAATGATTTGTGAGGGAGCAGATGTTGCAAGGAGGATACTTCTTCTGTTTTCTGGAACTTTGGTTTCCAGTTTGATTTCCTCCATTCCTTCTGCCTTGATATTGATTTGAAGGGGTAGCTTTGGTTTGAGACGAGAATAAGGCTCCTTCAGTAGGTACACGAGCATGCATGTTGACACGTTGCTCCTGTGATTGCAGCTTATTGATTAGTTCAGCTGAAGAAATCTTATCAATATCTGCAAGTTCCTCCAAGGCTGAGATTTTAGACTCAAATTTTGGTGGTAAGCTTATAAGAATTTGTTCTACCACCCTTGATTCAGGAAAGTCCTCCCCCAACAATCTCATTTTATTCACAATATCAGAGAGTTTGGAGGCATAGTCCCTAACAGACTCATTTTCTTGCATTATGAGTAATGCAAACTCACTTTTCAGCATCAGTAGTTTGATCTTCTTGCTTCTGTCTCCTCCATCAAATTCTTCCTTCAGTTTCTCCCACGCTTCCTTGGGTGATTCATAGTTCATAATCCTAGAGAAAACCCTGTCCGAAACCGCTGAGAAGAGGTAGGCAATTGCTTTTGGTTTCTTGGCCTTCTCTTCCTCGTGTCTTTTAATAAGGTTCAATGTAGCAGTTTCTTGTAGTGGGGTTGGTTCGCTATCGTCTATAATAACATCCCATAAACCCAGAGCTTTGAGGTGAGCTCGCATCTTTATTGCCCACACATGGTAATTTTCTCCGTTGAACTGCGGAGCAGGGGTAGTTCCTGAGGTAGCCATCGGGTTTGAGAAATTTTTTATTCACCTGATACGTAGGAAAACCTGGCTCTAATACCACTTGTAGGATCGGATGAGTAATAGCTTCAAAAGAAGCTGAGACAGTGAGCAAATTTAGAGAGAGAGAGTCAAGGAGAGAGAGAGAACTACAAAACAGAGTCCAAGGCTGCAGCACCCTCTGTTTCTTTAATTTCAGAAGAATTTGGTTTCTTTTTGTTTTTTTTTTTTGAAGAGAGGAAAAACTAACTTTATTGAATTGCACAATTACATTTATAAGCACGGAGTTGTGCTTGATTACACAAAAGATGACCCGATAAAATAAAACTCAGAGATTCATGTTAACACGTTGCATGGCAGCTGCGCAGGCTGCGGTGATACACTTTCTTCACAACCTACTTTTGAATTTAAATTTGAATTAAGTAAATGGATAAGATCGGTAAAATCAACACTTTCTCCATTTTCTGTTAAAACCTGTAGAGCTCTTTGTCTTAACATTTTACTTCCTACTAATAAGTTCTACCAAAGATCAGGTTTGGTATTCAGCTGTATTCACTTTTTTCTTCTTAGAAACAATGCCTTATATCTTTCTCAATGTCACATTTTCTAGTTGTTGATCCTTGTATTGATGCTATATATGTTGGAAGACGGTAGGATAGAATATATATGTGTGTGCGCATATATATATGGTTAGACACCAAGTAGATTTAAGACCACCAAGAATCATGGAGCAAATGTCTTTCACATATATCTAAACCAAAATTTCAAATGCAAATATATTTCTTTAAACAATTTTGTTCCATATATCTTTACTATTGTAACAATGCTTTTGCATTTTGGTAGTGATAGCATGATAATGAGGAAGCAAGGATGCCAATGTGTCCTACAGCATCTTTAAGAAGAATGCAGAATCAAAACAGTCGCAACTATAAGCAATTGCAGTAAAGCAGTGAAGTTTCGTAGCTTTATTGAAGGCAATTGTTGGCAATTTCATGGTACTCAAAAACCTTTCTAAATATATACTTCGGAAAATGTTTGTGAGAGGTCTCAATTGTTTCTTTTTTCTCTCTCTTGCTTTCTTTATTGAGTACTTTGTATGTATATATGACTACTTATTCTTGATCTAAGTTTTGACCAAATATGAAATGTTCCCTTCACATTTCACTTGCAAATTCCATTGAACTCCATCAAAATAAACTTTCAAAGATGTATCATGATCTATTCTCAAAACATGAAAGTGATTATTAACATCCAAGACTTTGCAACGGAATCTCTATTTTCACTTGTGCGAGCAGTGGCATCAATGACAAACTCATCAACTAATCAATATAAAAGTGGAGTTGTATGCATGCAAATGTAAAGTTCAGTTGAACTATTCCCATAAATACAACTGAAAATACATACATAATAAAAAACTAATTACATCTTTTTTAGGAAAATAAAATATTAACATAGAGAATTTCACCTCCTGCCTGTCAACAGAACCTCCATGGCATCCCTAGTTGAGATATATTTTTGATTAATTTCATTATGATTCATATAGTGCATAGTTCACTAATTGGCTATAATTCATTTCTATCCTCATCTTTGAGTAATTTGCAACCACTCAACGAAAAAAAAGCAGGTAAAGAATATACATGAATATAATGCAACTAAACTAATCACTATTTATTTAACTAATAAAATTGAATCATCAAATTACCCACTCAATTAAACTAATTACTTGAACCTGATATCCATGTTTGTTCCTATTAAAGAATGTACTTTATGTATAAAGTCAGTTAAATTAAATTAAAGGGTATTAAAGTAAAATAAACTATTTGTAATTAATTACAACTTTCTTATTTCTTATCCCTAGAACTTGTATATATAGAGATGTATTATTCAATGAGAATATACCACATTTGTTCCTCATATGGTATCAAATCAGACTTTATCATTATAAATTGATTCAATCACAACGTTATTAATAAAGACTTAATCACAATAGATTTCTCCTTGAGTAATTTAGAAGGAAATTCAGACCACAATGAATTGGAAGTTCTTATAAAAGTGAGTAATTTACTTCAAATCTAGTTTCTATGAATAGAATTTTTAATTTAAAGTAGGTTGTTCCATTCCCATTATATATATACTTACTACCATCAGGCAAAACATGAAAAGCTAAATGAATCAAGGCCAAAAAATTAGTAGAATAAATATGCATGGGTATAAAGATATTGCTTTGAGGGCGTGCTAACTGACCTTAATTGTACAAAGGATGAATAGACAGCAGCTCCAGCATTGCATATATCTGAGTGCAATTTGGGTGCGAAACATCTCCTGAAACAAATTCATTCGCTCTGCCATCCAGCTCTACCATACTACATCCTGGTGTTTTCCTGAGCCCTGCATCACCAATCATCCTACGAACCTTACATGCATCTTCACTCCTCCTTGCATCCAAGTAAACATTAGATAATTGTACCAGAGCTGCATCTTCTTCTTCTCTATTACCTTTCTCTAGCTTCAGAAGCTCTTCCACAGCCAGCTCTGCAATCTCAACATTCTTATGAGTTCGACAACTACTCAGCAATGCACCCCATACAGAAGCAAGTGGTTTCATTGGCATTCTTCTTATAAGCTGAATTGCATTGTCTAATTGGCCGGCCCTGCAGAGCAAATCAACTACACAACTATAATGTTCATGTTTTGGCACAATACCATATTGCTCTTCCATGTTATCTAACAGAAATTGACCTTCCTTCAGGAGACCTGCATGGGTACAAGCAGTTAAAACCCCAAGAAGAACAACTCCATCAGGCCTAAACCCATCTTCTACTTGCATCCTTTCCAAGCAATGGAAAGCTTTCTTAGCAAACCCATGAGCTGCAAACCCTCTAACCATGGCTGACCATGAGAAGACATTCCTTTCCCTCATCCTTTCAAACACATCAGCAGCCATGTCTATGGATCCACACTTGGCATACATATCTACAAGTGCCGTCTCAACAAACACATCTGGTTTCAACCCCTTGGTTTTCTTGATATATTCATGAATCCATTTCCCCTGACAAAGCGCGCCTAAATGAGCACAAGCTGTCAATGCCGTAGCCACACAGAACTCGTCAGGCTCAATCCCACAAGCCAACATTTCTCGGAAAACAATCAAAGCATCAGAACCCAAACCACCTCGAACATAACCATTCATGAGCACATTCCATTTAATAACATCTGGGCTGGTAATTTCGTCGAACAATTTCCGGGCATCCCCGAAAACTTTCCATTGTGCGTATAATCTGATAAGGGCAGTCTGCACGCGACTATCTGACGCGAAAACCCCGTTCTTTACTATCCACGCGTGAATTTTCCGACCTAAAAGAAAGAAACTAAAGGCGTTCACGCAGGCTAGAAGAACAAAATAAAACGTTCGATTATCAGGAACTACTGAGTTGCCAGCATCTTTCAACATGAGACGAAAATAATGAAGAGCCATATGAGGCTGAGAACTTCTGGAATAGGTTCCAATCAGAGTGTTGTAAATGTAACAATTTGGGTATTCGATAGAACCGAAAAGAAGAGAAGCGTAATGGAGATTAATGACAGGATTGGAATTTGAAAGAGCGCAAAAAGCGAGTAGGAGCCTGCTCATAGCGAAGGTATTACGGTGGAGGCCATGGATGGTGAAGACAGCTTGGGCGGCTTTCAGTTGGCGCATGGTTGAGCACCTTCGAGCAAGAGCCATGCATCGCTTCCATACCCGGAAGCTGCTTTGCTGCATGTGAAGGAAGCAGGAAAATTTTCATGCCGAAAAGATAGTACATAGAGGATAACCTCACTCCTACTCGATTATTATTTATAATTTATGTATTTCGAATTCTGTACCCATATAAATTTTTGTCTATTTAAATAAATATCATACGTCTAGTTATTATCAATTAACTTTTCAAGGATTCTCTAGTAACATTTAAAATTAGGCGGTCAACTCCATTTCCCACTTCCACCTTACTTTACTTTTTATTGTTAGAATGTAATTAATTTTATTTATAAAAAAATTATAAATTATCAATTGTAAAAAAAATACACATAAAAAATTAAAATAAAATATAATACATATGTCTGTTTTCAACTTTTAACACGTCTTTTTCCCCTTTTAAGGAGAACCTATTTGAACATAATTCAGATATCTCAAATTCAATTGAAACAAATTCGTTTACATAAGAATTAGGCCAATTTAGACAATTTTAATTGTACAATAGACAAGTTAGACCATCTGTCAAAATTCAAGTAAACTGCAACACTAAAATATTCATTATAACCTTGAACTATTTATATATTAGTTTATTTCATCTTATATATCAATTTTTATTTTAAAAAATATTCGCAGCCAAACACTTACTTTATCCCTTGTTTTTAATGAAAATAAGAGTGATTTCGTTTTGATTCTCACCCCAAAAAATGAATGTTTAAGAAAAGACTTTCGTTATACCAGAAAAGAAAAAAAACAAAATAAGTTCCCATTGATCGGAACCAATCTTAGCACAAACATTTTCGTCCTTCTCATCCCCTGACCCCCAGCCTCAATTTGGCCAACAAGTAGACCACATAACAGTCCAAGACTAGACTGTTTGTCATGCCTAACCAAGTTGGATACAATATCAATGGCAAAAACTAAAAACAAGATATAGATTTCAATATAGACACTAGGTTGGTTGGTTAATTATTAGCAAGGCACGGAAGTAAACTTCAATACTCCACACTTCAATCCTACAATTCAAGTAACAAACTGAGAACTTCCCTCGCCTGTATATTCAAAAGTTTGTAGAGTTGCTTCCATGATGATCACTAATAGGGATTACAAGTAGCACAATCAATGATGACCGCCACTTATGCAACTCCCACTGCTTTTCTTTCGTAATCATTCCAAACATTCTTTAGCTCCACCAAACTTTGTTTGTTATGTCTCTCCACCCTGAGCTTTCTTTTGGTACACTTCTTCTAAGCATTCTTTGGCTCTATGAACCTTTGATTGGATGTAAAAGCTCCCGTTCTTAGCATTTTGATCAAACAAATTATCGTATTTCTGCAAGCAGATATTATTTAGGTGCTTTTACGCAACTTTTTACATCGAACCAATTGTCTAATTTCACCATCATAAAGATGAAACCACAAAGGATGAAATGATAAGCATATGGCAAACCTGCAAGATCTCCTCCCACGAAGCCTGCTCAGTGACACCAAGAATCTGTCTAGCTTCAGATTCAGCCATTACCTTGCTTGCTCTTCTCAAATTCTGCACTATTTCTTGCGCAACACCAGATTTTGAGGCATCTGCACAGTTGGACCTACTATAATTGGCAGACCGCAAAGATATTTAAGCTAACAAAATAGCTATGTACCTAAAACAAAAAGAAAGCATATTGTAGCGCCAATTAATTTAGTTAGTAAAGGTATTTACTATAGACAATAATCTAGGCTACATTTGGTTCAACACTAAATCCATGGAATAAGAATTGAAATATATTTTTATTTCAGAAAAAAAAGAACTGAAACATAATAGTAATGGGATAGAGGTTATGTCGAGAATAATATTATAATTCCTGTTCAATGGAAGACTATTTATGCTTCCTATTCGGGTTATGCGGTATAGAAGTATAGTTGGTCTAATTGTGAGCCAAGCATCAAAAGCATGATAATTTTACTGACAAAGTGGTGGAGGTCAAGGAATAAAAATAAAATAGAATTTCAATTAATTCAAACAGGTGATTAAGTCAAATCCTACTTATACAATGGACGTGATGGAGAAGATTATCTCCTGACCTAGATAATTCTAAACATTAATCAAGAGACAGAAAAACATACTTGCTAGTGCCTGACGGAATGCCTGGACAAAAAGCCCTGGCTAATATTCCAGAGCCCATCACGATCAAGTTGGCAAGAATCTTTGCAGCCTGTGCAAATAAACAGAAATTTAACTAAATATTTTTTTGTTTCTTTTCATTGGTAAAAGGTAGTGCTAGTCCCACATGGTCATACAATTAAAAACAAAAAGAAAAGCAAGCTATTGTGGTTGACCATCTGTTTCCACATAAATCTTAGTTGATCAACTAAAAATTGGCTATCTTGCTTGCAACAGGTCAAATTACCAATTTAAAAAAAAAAAGATTTCTGAAGATGTAACACTAGTCTTAGGTGCTAGTAAAAGCATAGCTTTACAAAAGAGGGTCCAATACTTCCTATGCAAGAGGGACTGAACTAATATAAGATGCTAAAATCAATGGGTTTCTACTACCATGCCTCAGATGCATGGTGCCTCTACGTTTTCAACCATAACATTACACAAAGAGAAATCTTGGTCATTGAAAAACAAACAGTAAAATAATTAATTTACAGATTCTATCTCAAAGTGCTTTGGAGGCACCATGTTTTGTAGGCATGATAGAATTTCCTAAAATCAGCCCAAGCAGACAAACTTACATCAAATAGATATGGTATGAATACAGCTCTCCCCTCTTTCGACAAGAGGGAAAAGCCCCTGTCAAGTAACAAACGTATCTTCACCATCTTGACAATTAAGTGTTGCACTGACTTTATAGTAACAACAAGAAACATTTGAAGCCTGCGTCTAATATTCATCAACAGTGAACAAAGAACAACTGCAGGCTTGGGAATCAGCAATGTCTCAGTATGTGCTACTGCGATATGACCATCAGAAAACTTGATAACAAAAAATGAAGGTGGCTCGACCACTCCTATGGGAACTGCCTAAAGAAGTCAAAATAATCCCAAATGGCTATTAGCAGTAGCCAGACTAGGCTGTTCGTTAATAGCACTGACTTGTTGAAAGCTTGAGAAAGCAAAAATAATGCAAGGAAAGATATCCCATATGATCATGGAGCTGCATGATTAAAAAAGAGAAAGTAACATACCATTGCTGAAGATTTTGCAAACAAATAACCAGGCAAGGGTTAATAACAATTTAATTCAGGATCTTGGAAACCTGCAAATACATAAAAGAAACTACATTAAATAATATTAAGAAATTACTAAACATAGGACAAAAACTAAATCCGCCCCTAAACTTCAGGTTTTGCAATTAAGCCCTTCAAGAAGTTATAATCGGTAATATATTAAGAAAGTCACTTTGAAACAAGAAAAGTTACCTATCATTAGAAATTCCTAAGGCTCCCAAGAAAAATCACAAATAAACCATCATGCTAACAGTTCCCAAGGACGAATACATGCATGCCTACCATTAAAAGTTTTTGCTATTTGCGTATTTCAAAAATAAAGTTTTTGCTATTTGCCAATTATTATCAACCTTGCAAAAATAAAAAAAACTGGTTTTTAGAGCATATATAACTTGAAAGGCCATTTGATCTCACTAAGAAACATAAAGCTTCGCCCTTACTACAATTGCCTTTCAGGAGAAATCTAACCTAAAAAAGTACACCATATGGAGGACAAAGTCCTAACTCAAACCAGGGTCTCCTTGCTATCAATCACAGGCAAGTCTTTGGAGAGCAATTTTATATTTAGAATTTCTTCCAAAGGAACCAGAAGACATTAACCAAAAAATTACTTAAAAGGCAATAAAAACACCAAACGCAAGTAAAACACGTTTCTGTCATGCCCAGCAATACTTAAAAATCTCATCACAAGCTTTTTCACGATCAAATCGAAACATGAAAATTCCCTGCAAATAATTGATTCAGTACACTAGAATGAGAGACAAAAAAACAATAAAATCAATACCAAGTAACCCAATTCTAGAGTTTAAACCCAGCTAGTAATTTTATGCAACAATTCATCTTCCGCAATGAATGAGACATACTCGTAATCAAACCCAGAGGAGATTCTCAAAATAACCCCCAATCTCGCTAAAGCTATATTCTCACAGCAAGAAAAAAAAAAAAACGCGTCATAATCTCTTATGCTTATTGAAACGATGGAAGAGAAAAAGAATTGCATGATTAAAAAGTAACGAAATTTATATGCAAAAACGTTCAATTATCCTTTTTTTCAGCAACCCAAAAGAAAGAGACCTCAATCATACAACTCACCTTGAATATTAGATATTTAAACGGAGTTCAAAAATTTTCTGTCGGGGGAAATAGGGTAGAGAATATGTCTGGGTTGGCTTTCCCGTGTAGTGCAATTGAATACAAAGTTAGGGGCAAAAGAGTCCTTTCATTACTCGGAATATGACTGGTGCGATTGACTTATTCAGTCTCCAAAGGGGCCTCCTTTAACGTGGCATTGTTCCAGAAACGATAAGGTTTAACTAGACACAGAACGAAGAAACAAGATTTTTCCTTTGTCACTCATGAGCTTTAGGTTCGCGCGTTTTTCCTTTCCTTTTAGCGTCATCTCGAAGAATGCTACAGACCTTTGCGATCTTCTTTTGGTTCTCAATAAGAGAAAATTTAGTACTAATGCCCAGAGGGTAACACTGGTTGCTATTCTTCTCTATGTGCTTTCATTCTCAGCTTGATTTGTTTGTCAATTTGATTTCGGATTTTTAACCGTTGGATAGTTGAGTAGTGAAGAGCTATTGGTGGTGGTTGGCGGTGGAGCAGCAGGAGTGTATGGTGCTATCAGAGCTAAAACCCTCGCGCCTAATCTTGATGTTTTGATTATTGAGAAAGGGAAACCTCTATCAAAGGTTATTCTTTTTTTGGCTGATTAAGTTCATGTATATAAATGTATACCAAGTTGATTTGTTTTAAGTTCTATAAATTTCTTCTTGCGTTATGTTAAAATCTATTCTGTTATATTGTTTAATTTTTACATTTTAGATTATTTGATTAAGTAGGATTTTGTGATAATTACATATTTAACGGATAAACATACTAACCGCAGTTACATTTTTAAGTTCATATGTATAAATTTGTATCTCTACGTCTCTATTAGAGAAATTATAGAAACATTGATTGGGTAAATATTAGTAAAGGAATAGAGAGGAAATAAAAAAATTTATTAATAGAATGAGAATTAAGTTGTGAGTATGAAATAAAAAATCTAGTGTAAAATTCTTAATCATTTTTCTTTTCTTCCTATTTGGATTCTGGAGGAATGTAAGCATTAAAGCTTTGAGAGAAAGAGAGGATGTCACTTCTACTTTCTTTACTTGTATAATTTTTATCCAAACAAAAGAAATGATTAAGAATATTCCTTCCTTTCCTTTTCCTCATCTTCCATCAATCAAAATATATTGTTATTTGAAGATTATATAGGATTAACTTGGAATTAGAATGTTATTTCATTAAAATTTCCATCTCGTTTGTACTTTATTTATTTCTATTTTATAAAATTGAAATTTGAATGAAACTCAATATCACTGTTTCTTATGGGCTTAGGTAAAGATTTCTGGGGGTGGCAGATGCAACGTCACAAACGGGCATTGTGCTGACAATATGGTGAGGATTTTTGAATATTAAGCACAGTGTAACCTAGGTATGGATGTTTTGGAAAAAAAAAAAATTTGAGTTATGGTGCCCTGTAAATATGTTATCGTTTTTGCTTACCAGAAGAAGTGAGTACTGGAGTATTGTTAACATCATTTATTTTGGCTACTTTGCTGGTGGCAGGTGTTTTTGGCTGCATATTTTAGTTTCTTTTTTTTTTTTTTTGTTCACTGCTGGTTATTATCTGCTGTTCTGATTATGGGTTCTTTTCTCAGTTCCCTTTGTAAAATAACATTACCAATAGACTGGGTTTCTTATTTTTGGTGATGTTGAGAATGATGTATCTATTTACAGGTTTTGGCAGAACATTATCCTAGGGGTAGTAAAGAATTAAAAGGATCTTTCTTCAATATGCATGGCCCAATGGATACCATGTCTTGGTTCACTGAGCATGGGGTGCCGCTGAAGGTTGCTTTCCGTAATACATTTACATTATTTCCATCATTGCACATGTAATTGATGAATCTCTGCCTCAGATTGAGAATGACGGAAGGGTGTTTCCTGTCAGTGACAATTCCTCTTCAATAATTGATTGTCTTTTGTCTGAAATGAAGTCTAGCGGAGGTATGTTTCCTCTGTTTGGGATTTATCTGTTGCTTCTT